CGAACGAATGTGTCCCGAGCGCGATTATATATTATCTTTAGTCATCTCGCGGCACGCAAATCTCGATTTCATGCAACGTTTTCCTTCTTTTATCCCCTTCTTCTTCCTTCGGTCGGGATATTCGTTACATTCCTACCGTCGCTAAACTCGTTCGGGTCAATTACGAAGGTACACTGTTGCGCACGGATATACGAGAGCGGGCGGAAAGGAAAAAATGACGTGTACGCGAAACGCGAGATGCAACGTCAAGTGCGCTTTTACCGAGCACGTAATAATATTCGGAATCGGCGCGGGAGGTCGCGCCCGAAGTAGTCAAACGAAATTCCGCGGCAAAGCAAGACACACGCTGTCAAATGTCAAAAAATATGTTTAGATAAACAGGCGGCGAAAAGAGACGAAATCGTCGATCCCCCCCCCCCTCCTCCCCTCCCCCCCCCCCGGCTTTTTTNGTCTTTTTTCGTGTCACACGTAACGCGGCTTTTCGCACGCGGTTAGGAAACGCGCATTTCATCGGTGATACCGCCCCAGCCACGGTATAATTCTCATTAAAATATATAAAAGTAGTAACATGCACACGCCGCGGAACGTGTTAATGTGCTAATTTCACGCGCAGCTGGCGTCGCGCGTGTTTGGTGCGTCGGTGAAAAATTCACGCGGCAGGACAAAAATTTATTTCAGTGATACGTACACACGAGTCCCTGCCGAATAATTTGGTTTTTACGTATGTCCCCCCCCNGACTGGATTCCGTTCGCAAAAGTGACACGCTCGAACCGGCGAACTCTCGAATGTCTTTGATCGGGTGGGAGACAAATTTTTCGGACAGTTACGCGAGCGTACTCCCGGCTGGCTGTCAATCAACGCGTAATTCGCTTATCTCGCGTAATTCATCCGCCGTTCGGCAATCGCCGAGAACCTACCGGTGAGGAAAAAAGAGAACGAGACGCCGATTTGCGGTTGCGCGGATTTGTCCCGTCGCCGAAGCCGCCTTCGGCAGGAGAATGCGTCCGCCGGGGGAGAAAGTCCGCGGTGCAGCAGGTCGATTGTAGCCCAACTACTGGGCGTGACAGTGTATCCCTGCTGCAGGTGCAACTGAACGTATAGGTAGGACCGTGAAAGCGCCTCAGGGTAGAGGGGAATGCGATCCTCGCCGCCCACGCGCGATCGGCCTGCTCGTTCGCCGGGAAAGACAGGAGCCGAGCCGGTGGTGCGTGGAATAAAGAGAACCAGGGGGAGAGAGAGAAAGGAAGAGAGACGTGAGAGGCACCGAAAGGTGGAAGAGAAAGATCGGGGAAAGGAGGGGAGACTAGATCCGAGGAGATCGAGGAGAGCGTGCAGGCTCCGTCGCTGGCTGACGCGGTCGCGCACACCTGTGCCAACGCAGCATGGCACGGCGTCGCATAACAGGTGGAAAGGTAACGGAGGGAGAGAGAGAGAGAGAGAGAAAGACAGAGGGACAGAGAGAGAGAAAGATAGAGGAGTCGCGGGAGGAAAGAACGGGAGAGAGAAAGAGAGCGAGGGAGAGAGAGAGAGAGAGAGAGGGGGGGGGAGAGAGAGAGAG